TTTTGCAAAACTCCAAAAATTTACCTATAAATACAATTCACTGCAATTTTCATGAAAGTGCGTATAAATAGTATGCCAAATGAAAACTTGTGGTATTGATACGCAAAAATGGACTTTGGCGTGTATATACTACGCAATGGCTAGGATTAGGGTTGTGGGGATGTGTATCATATGTATGCGAAAACTGCGTATCATATGCACGCCAATAAATTTTGTATAATATGCACGCCAAACACGTGTGTAGCATATACACGCCAAAGTCCATTTTTACTATCAATACCATGAGTTTTCGTTTTTATTTGGCATACTATTTATACTCATTTTCATGAGACCGGGCTCAAAAGAGACCGTAAAACACCAGCTATTTTTATTTATTTATTTTTTTGCGTAAATTATGATTACAGGGCAGATTATCAATTAATGAAGACTCACTTCCACAAGGTTCCTTGCACAATACTATGTTATCGCCTCAAAACACTTTTAGTGCATGATTTATAAACCGTTAGATTTCAATGTTTGCATCACACCGTAGCTCACCCGGAACTGCAAATCCACTTGGTTTAATATTTAGAAGGTAATGACATGCAATCATTTTTATATGGAAGTATCATTTTTTTTATTTCTTCCTCAAAGTAAAAAAAAAGCCACAATTATAAGAAATAATTAAACTAGGGAAACTATGAATTTATTTACATGCTGTTAATTAAAATTCCAAAATAATTTTGTCATCACAAAGCCAAGTAGTATTATTTTATGTGCTCCGACATACTGGCTTTAGCACTTTGGAAAACACATCAGTCACTGGACATGGTTGTAAAGTATTATAAGTTGAGAAGCCTTCCAGAGCTTTAAGCAAGTCTCCAACATTTCTCAAAGCTTGAAGACCATTATTAAGAATTATTCAGCACAAAGCAGTTGTTAATGTGGCCAGTTGAGTAATAAAACCTGCAGTTTGTTCCAGCCTTCTAAACACTGGAGCGGCGGTGTAAACCGTAGATAACCATGGGCACTGTGCTTCATTATTTCACAGCTAGTGTGAGATAATGAAATATCCCTTGAAAAATGCAGGATTCACTGCCAGTCCATGTCAAGGTAAACAACTACATGACTCTCGACCGAATCCTCTTGATTTCTGCTCTGTTTTGGTTTAATCATTGTTTGACCACATTCGAGCACAATATTCTGCTAACGGTCGACATCAAATTGATGTCCTCATTGCCGTCAGTTAGTTACGTCTGAGCAGATCAAAACCAGACCCCTGTCGTTGCCTTGGTGATGCATCATTTGATGACCGCCGCAAGCCAAGCTGGAAACCGTTTGGAGTCCAACCAAGTCAGAAGAGCATAAATCAGTGAAGTTCACCAGCAGGTGATCTGTTCCTATAAGCTCCAGACTCCCGTCTTTCTAGCCCACGCGTCTCATCTAGTGTTTGTAACGCATTACAAGTAATGCAAGTTGGGTAATCAGATTACTTTTTTTCAAGTAACTAGTAAAGTAACACCAGTTACTTTGTTTTCCCGTGTATTGTCTTGTCCTCATGTTGAGAGAAATCAGGAGTGAGTGCAGAGGCGTTGTGTGCGCTTATAATTAAATAAGTTACATAACACACACATACTTTATATATTTAATCCCATTTTATTAATGTGTGACCCTGGCGCACAAAACCAGTCTTAAGTCGCTTGGGTATATTTGTAGCAAAAGTCAAAAATACATCGTATGGGTCAAAATTATTGATTTTTCTTTAGCCAAAAATTATTAGGATATTAAGTAAAGATCATGTTCCATGAAGATATTTTGGAAATGTCCTACCGTAAATATATTCAAACTTCATTTTTGATTAGTAATATGCATTGCTAAGAACTTCATTTGAACAACTTTAAAGATGATTTTCTCAATATTTAGATTGTTTTGTACCCTCAGATTCCAGATTTTCAAATAGTTGTATCTACAAACCATACACCAATGGACAGCTTATTTATTCAGCTTTCAGATGCTGTATAAATCTCAATTTCGAAAAATGAACCCTTATGACTGGTTTTGTGGTCCAGGGTCACATATGTGTCTTTGCTGCTGACCTTTGATGATCCAATCCAACCATACTTCATTTTTGTAATTGCTGAAGAGTGCTGAACTTTCTTCTCCTGCGTCCTGTTCTTCATGTAATCCAGAATAGCAGCACAGCTGAAAGGTTTGTATGAGCTGCGCCCTCTACTGTACAGATCTGAATTTACATTCCCTTCAGCCTGAGGCGCATTCATTTCTCTTGTGAAAGGTATTTTACATTTGCCAAAAATATAATGTTTTTATATCAAAACAAACAAGCAAGCCCAGGCAAGTAATGCAAAAGTAATGTAACGCATTACCTTCCATAAAAAGTAACTAAGAAACAATTAGTTTACTTTTTTAGGGAGTAATGCAGTATTGTAATGCATTACTTTTAAAAGTAACTTTCCTTAACACTGGTCTCATCCTTCCCCAGTTCAAAGCTTGTGTTTGGTCTCTCCTGAAAGACAGCTGGAGGCAGATTGGAACCGGATCTCCTGGTAAAGATCATGTTCCATGAAGATATTTTGGAAATGTCCTACCGTAAATATATTCAAACTTCATTTTTGATTAGTAATATGCATTGCTAAGAACTTCATTTGAACAACTTTAAAGATGATTTTCTCAATATTTAGATTGTTTTGTACCCTCAGATTCCAGATTTTCAAATAGTTGTATCTACAAACCATACACCAATGGACAGCTTATTTATTCAGCTTTCAGATGCTGTATAAATCTCAATTTCGAAAAATGAACCCTTATGACTGGTTTTGTGGTCCAGGGTCACATATGTGTCTTTGCTGCTGACCTTTGATGATCCAATCCAACCATACTTCATTTTTGTAATTGCTGAAGAGTGCTGAACTTTCTTCTCCTGCGTCCTGTTCTTCATGTAATCCAGAATAGCAGCACAGCTGAAAGGTTTGTATGAGCTGCGCCCTCTACTGTACAGATCTGAATTTACATTCCCTTCAGCCTGAGGCGCATTCATTTCTCTTGTGAAAGGTATTTTACATTTGCCAAAAATATAATGTTTTTATATCAAAACAAACAAGCAAGCCCAGGCAAGTAATGCAAAAGTAATGTAACGCATTACCTTCCATAAAAAATAACTAAGAAACAATTAGTTTACTTTTTTAGGGAGTAATGCAGTATTGTAATGCATTACTTTTAAAAGTAACTTTCCTTAACACTGGTCTCATCCTTCCCCAGTTCAAAGCTTGTGTTTGGTCTCTCCTGAAAGACAGCTGGAGGCAGATTGGAACCGGATCTCCTGTGAAGACCACAATGCTGAAGGTAGATCCAAACAAATCTACAGATTGTTCCTCTTCCGTCAATAGGAACCAAATGTTGGTTTGATCTTTGAGCTTTCGGTTAGATTCTCTGCATAGTGTTGATGTGCGTACACACTGTAATGTGGCGTGACGGCGTGCAGCTGCGGGTAAGAAACCAAACAGAAGGATTGTGCCTGAGCCATGGTTTATTGAAATGCTTATACAAAATCACAGGTAGACAATTTATCTTAAGCAAATAAAAGGGATACATTAGCTGAGATGATCCAGAGGTTGTTTTTGTAAAAGTCTTAAGGTTCAGTCACATTAGTGAAATTTCACTGGAAAAAATGTCCATATTCTGTTGTCAGTAGTGTAGAGAGGTATGAAGCAGCTCACAGAGAAGACACTTTCAAACCAAGCAAGGTGGCGGATCAGCATGACCAACTTGAACCTGTTGCAAAATCTGCTTGGGGAATATTTCACTCTCATTCGAAATTCCCAATCATGTAGATTACTATTGAAATTATTAGATTTTGCCAGCAAAAATTTACCGAACAATGGTAAATGTGACCTCACTTTTATTCTTAAGGACGAGGACTATAACGATAACAATAAAGATATATCATTCAAAATGTCCATTCAACTATAAAAACATAGTGGAACAATATTGTTGGAATCGCTTTCAAAATAATTGTTTTCCAGCTGATGAATGATAAAAACATCGACAGCCAATCAGAACCCCTCCTGCTTTAAAAAGCTTGAGTATTTAAAGAGGCAGATGAAAAAATGGCAGTGCGAAACTGTGTTATTTTACATTGGTGTGGACGCTAATATAATTATCAATATAGTTAACGGTAAGAGCCATATCTACAACTTTTAAAGGGATAATTTACCCGAAAATTACAAACCTGTATGGTTTTCTTCTATGGAACACGTTAAAAAAAACAACTTTTGTCAGTCACAAAAACTCATACAGGTTTGGAACAACATGAGAGTGAGAAAAATGAATATGGATCTTAATTTTTAGCTGAACTAACACTTTTAACCCTCTGGTGCTGCTCCAAATTTGTCTTTTTTGTTTGTTTGTTTTTTTGTCCCCAATTAAATTAATGTACTATATTTTTAATTTGATAATGTTTTTATTTAGTATTTTTAGGGGATTTCATGGTACTAACTTATATTTATGGAATAGTTATTATCCATTTATTACCCGTTAACCACTTTTTGAGCATAGACCTGAAAATTAAATTTCCAACTTAAACTTGTAAATCTTGAATGCTTTGGAGCACAGACTTACATTTGGTCTCTTTTTAAATAAGCCACTTGGCAGATTAAAAAAATGTTTAAAAAGGTTAGAAGTATATCATTATTAAAAATGCTATATACTATTTTTGCTAAATACTAATTTTTTTTTATTTTTAATGAGAAATGTTTTTCCAAAACTGAAAACAGACAAGTTGTGTTCCACATTTGAGGTTGATATCTCAAAAAAAAAAAAGAGCTTAGTAAGATTTTCTTTGATACCACATGTTTCCACTAGATGAAGTTTGTTTCCAGTGCCACAAACCGAAGAAGTGTGACTTTTTTTCAGAACCATTTAACCTTTTTGAATCATTTTTTGTGTTCACATAGCAAGTGCCAAAACTAAGTTTCGTACCATTCTAAAGAAAAAAATTAAAAATTTAAAAATGACCGAACAGCACCAGAGGGTTAACAGACATTTTGAATATTAGCAGTAAACAGCTATGCTAATGTATCTGGCTGTTGGAAAACAGCCGTAATCTCGACTGTAATAGTCATCTGAGATGTTCTTCAGAATTTCACATGAATAGGTTTGTTCTTTCGTAGCCATTTCGAGAGTTAATTCAGAAATTAAGTGCCGTATGGACGCGTCTCATCTTGTGTTCCTGGCCTTCACCCTGGTTTCCCGTGTCCTCCTGAATGAGCTCCACGAGCAGATCCTGTAGCTGTTTTCTCACAGCCCACGAACGTTTGGCGTCCTCCCCGCCGTCTATCTCAGCGCACTCCTGCACGGCTCGCTGCAGCGCCACCTGCAGGGGTAGCCCCGCTTTAGCACCGAGCAGCGTGGGAGAAAACCAAGGCCTGAAGATCTTCTCACAGATCACCTGCGGAGAGACAGAAAGAGAGAAGCATGACAGCTATCGACCCCAAAGGGAAAAGCATGGGTATGGATGAGGGAAGCAGCCATTAGCGCCATCCTGGTCTCGTTTCATCATCTCCGGAGCAATCATCAGCCATATTCGCTATGCGTACCGTTTGAAAGCAATGGTCTCTTCGACCCAAAGGCCTGAACGTTACAAAGCCCTCATTGTTCTGAATGGCAGGCCATACAATGGGAAAGTAGAGGTCACCAAGGGTTGCGTTAAGTGATCGGGAACGGAGAGATGGGCTCTGTCTCAGCCACCTGTGGCCCGGAGCTGGACTTGGTTTCATGCGACCAGCTCGTCTGTTAGCTTGCTCTCCTTAAGGGGAGTTGGCACTGACAGCAGGTGTTGACTACGAATGAACCGCAATGAACAGATGAAAGACGTTGCGTGACTGCTGCAAAGTATCTTCTGGAGAAATTAAACCTGCATTTACTGGTAATGGTGGCAGCATTCTGGAAAACAGTATTTATTGTCTTCTACTTATTTTTGTAACTTTTCCCCCTAATGTGGCACAGATCTGTTTTCATGGAAGCTTATGTCCACCACAGAACCTTTAATTTTACAATACTGAATTTATATCTCACAATTCTTAATTTTTTCTCAGAATTTCAAGATATAAACTCAGAATTGTGAGATACAAATTAGCAATTGTAAGTAAAACTTTCAGTGTCATAATTGTGGGATAAAAAGATGCAATTATCTTTATATATATATATATATATATATATATA